CTTCAGAAAGTTGCAAGAAAGACAGATTAAGCGTGTTTGAATCAAGGGAGCGTATGCTGAGAGAGGTTGATGGTAATATGCCTAATTTAAAAAAAAATTTAAAATATCTTTTAAAATCATACCTCATACTTAGATTTTTCTTGTGGATACCAGAAATCACATTCAGGCCCTTATACTTGCCAGGCAGGCACAATGCCACTAAGCTGTATCTCTGACCCAGAAGATCTATTCTATAGAAACTATTATTTAGATCACTTACATCCTTATATAGTTTCTGTCTTCAGTCTTGGAGACTGATATGTTATATTCCTGTACTAGCAATTTGTAGTGTTCTACCTACTCTTTCTGGCAGCTGTTTCTTATACAAATGTAATATGCTTTGACAAGCTAGAAGTAACATGCCTAAAATAATGAAAAAGGAAGAAGAGAAAGCACAAAGAACTCTTCGTTGCATAGGCAATAGGTGGGAGTCAAGGAATCGCACTTAGGTGACAAACTACATAGTTGAGGTGATACTCTTCATATCTAGCATATCTTTATTGTGAACTGCAGTTTCTAGTATTCTAATGTCCTTTGTCTTTTCCTGAATTCTGTATCAGAGATAGATGCTGTAATCTTTGCATTTGGCGAATGCTATTTTTCTGGTATGTTGTTGCTTATGCCCCTACCTTTTAGCCTTCATTTTATTGTCCTTATAAATGATGATGTTAGTATATAAATCAATCTGAATTTCTTTTTCTTTTAATAGATGGATGAAATCCTCTCACATTTACCAACTTGACTTACGCTTGCACATGAGTTCATTAGGTGTGTTGCTTCATTTATGGCATGCTGGTCACTATGTGCTCTGCTACCTTTCTTACTGTTTATTGGTCACTGAAGGCTATTTGTACTTTATTTTAGTGATTATATTATTTATATTATACTATTACCCTTATTTATGCTGTGCTATTCCTTTTTGGAGGCTCAAAATGCCTTTAGAGCATTTCTGGTTTGCAGTGACTGTCTGGGTTCAAACCACAGAAGCTTAAGCTTGAGGGCTTTAAGCAGGCACTTAAACAACTGAGCTACTGGGCAGGCCCCCATGCTATTCCCTTTAATAGTATCAAATACCTCTTAATGATTTTACTTTTTCTTTTTCCATCTTTCAAGCCTCAACTACTTGACTTGTCAATTTGCCAGGGAAAGGCTTATTCCACTGAGCCATCTCTCCGGCGAATGGAAGATCAAGTCATATTTTTTAATATTTATTTCTTTATTTATTTATTTTGTGTGTGGCCAGCTCAGCCCACCGGGGGCGGGTGGGCTGGCATGTGGTGCTGGGGATTGAACCGAGGTCCATGTGCTTTGCTTGGTTTAGCTTGTTCTAAGTAGGTGCTTTAGACCACTGAGCCATCTCACCAGCCCCTTGACTTGTCAATTTGAAGTAATATCCTGACTCCTATTTCCTATGCCAATGAAGAGCTCTTGGCACTTTCTTCTTTCACTCTCTTCCTCACTTCCAGATTTGTCTACTATGAGAAAGCACGTACCATTTGACACCATTTGTCCATTTCTCCTATCTGCATCATCTTTCATCCACAACTATTGACATTCAATCCTTGCCTTGTCCTTGTGCTCAAGTTTCTCAGTGAGCTCCATAGGAGCAGCCTGGCTTCCAGTAGAATCCTCTTTGGCTTAGAACTAGGATGTTCTTAAAAGTTTCATGTGTTCAGAGCCTGGGATCCAGGATGGTGACTGGCTCTTGGATGAACAGTTGAGCTTATTGTTAGGAGAGCGAGCCTGGTAGGTGACTTGGGGGTGTGACCTGCAAGGGTGGTTGCCCTCCTGCTCCCTCCTCTCCGCTTCCTGGCCACTATGATGTATGTTAGCAGCTCACCTCTGTAGTGGGCCCTTCCACTAGGAGCCAGCCAACCATGGGCTGAAACTTCTGAAACTGTGAGCCAAAACAAATTTCTCCTCCTTTAAATTGTGGGTTTCTGATATTTTATCCTAGAAACAAGAAAGTAACTAAGGAAGACTGTGACTCTAACATCCCCTGACCTCTTGCACTATTTAAACTTGCATCTGCACTCTGGATACCCAAAGGATGGCTTAGCTGGATACAAAATCCTTATACGTCACATTTTTGCTCTATAGCTATTTCAATTTTTTTTTAACAAGTCTTATGCCAATCTTATTTTTCTTCCTTTATAGGAGACTAGATATTCTGGCCTAGACATAGTTGTGGCTTGCGTTTAGATGTCCCCCCAAAGCCTCATGCAGTCATAGGTAGGGCTTTTTCACAAGTAGGTGGATCTAGAGTGTGTGATGCTGGGATTGCTTCACGGAGCAATGCTAGGCTCAAGGGTGCTGGGATTAAGGTGGTGAGTACTACATGCCCTACACACCCTGGATAAGATAAGAGGAGCACAGAGACACTATTAAGATTCCTTGCTTGCTTTTTCTGTCTTCACTCTGCCACAAATTTTTTTTCCTCCGCCAATCTACCCTGCCTTGGAGTCAGCTGATTAGGGGCTGAAACCTCTACAAACTGTGAACTAAATAAACCATTCCTCCCTTACCTTGTGGGTGCTGGGTATTTAGAGTCAATGACAAGAAAAGCAACTAAGACAGAGTCCATGATAATTTTCCTTTTACTTTCAAAGTATAACACTTTCATAGAAGTATCTCAGTGCTTACTTATCATTCTGGGTCAATTTTCCAAGTAACAAAATACATCTTTTTAAGATAGTTTCGCGTCTTTTTTTGCAGTTTTAAACACCAACTGGTTCCATTGTCTTATCTTTTGCTTTCAGGAGTTCCAATGTCACCAACATTGCACTTTCTTTGCCTATTCTCATACTTGCCTTCCTTGTGCCTAACTATACTGCAGCCATATCTACTCTCAGTTGGGAAGCTTGGAATGTAGTCTTCATACCTGCCATGATTTTATCTTTCTGTTGAAGTTCTTTCGTAGGGTTGGTAAATTCTCTTTCATATATGCTCACTGCTCTTTCATTTTCATTGTAAGTGTTTCAATTTCTGACCTATGGTCTTCTTTCACCCCCACAACTGTCTCATTTATTTTAAAATTCACGTTGGAGAACTATGCTACAATTTAATTTTCATTATCCAATTGGTCAATGATGCAATATTCAACAAGTAATGTCTGGTGACTGTGGTGGTGCGGGCCTCCCCATACTTGAAAGGCTGGGGCAGGCTTTCCATGAGAGTTCAAGGTCAACCTGGGCTACAAAATGAGTTCAAGGCCTACTGAACTACACAGCAAAACCCTGCCTCAAAAAGCAAAACCAGGGCCAGGGAGATAGTTCAGTAGAATAAGCGCTTGCCTGGCAAGTGCAAGGGCCTGAGTTCAATCCCCAGGTCGGCCAAAAAAACAAA